GCAATCAACTGTAAGCCCAGGAATCTCCTGATTTAAAGCAAAGATGCATTTCAACTTTTAAACTGATAAAGGGTAACTAGTGTTGATATATTTAATGTTAGGCTAAAAATGAATGCTTACCATATCTGATAATCTGTGCAATTAGGACAAAGCTCAAGGATGTACTATACTCTGGTTCTTCCAAATCCTTGTGGTTCAGCAAATGTACTGAGGTGCAAAATACTGGCTCAGGAAGGCAAACCTTCACTAAAGAATTAGGGAGCAACATGCCCCTGTGTTTCTGTTACTTCGACATTTCTCCCCACTCACAACACGGCAAAGGCTATAAGCCTATTAAGCATTTACCTGAAAATTCGTTTATTTTAAGCATATTTTAAGCATTTTACCTAGTCTTCACATAACTGTAAGAATGTTTTTTAAAGTAACATGCCTCTGACTTTTCAAAAACACACATGTTTTTAATAATTTTTCATTTTTTGTGTACAGAAGCAATGCAGATGAATAAAACTCATAGAAATAGGCAAGCTGATGTTGACTGAATAATTTTTCTACTTGGGGAAAAAATAAGATGTGGATGTCTAGAGAAGACTTATTTCACCATGAGTGATTACAATGAAATTAGTTATACAGTGGTACCTCGCTAGACGACGACCTTGCAAAATGACAAATCCGCATGACGATGAGGTTTTGCGATCGCTATAGCGATTCGCAAAACAGTGATTCCAATGGGCGATTTTCGCTTGACGATGATTTGTTTCATGCTTTGCGGAGCATTTTTTTCACAAGATGACGATTTTTACAGCTGATCAGCGGCTTCGCAAAATGGTTTCCCTATGTTTTCAGGACCAGTGCTTCGCAGGACAGCCATTTTTACAGCTGATCGGCACTGCACAAAATGGCTGCCCTATGGGCGATCTTTGCAAAACAACAATTTTACCCCATTGCAATGCATTGGGTTTCAATGCATTCCAAAGGGGAAACGGTTTTCGCAAGACGATGATTTCGCTAAACAGCGATTTCCACGGAATGAATTATTGTCATGCGGGGCACCACTGTACCTCAATATCCTGATAAACACTGGTATGATTGACAGAGATTATCTGGTACACATTGGAATTAACCTTTTCAGAGATAAATGTCAGCAGTGACAGATCACTATAGACTCAAACTACCAAAGTTTTAAACTATTATAAAATTTTATAGTATTAGTATATATATAGTATATACTTTTAACCCTGACCCATGAAGAAAGCTCACAATCTGTTTCCAGAGTCAGACTGGAGTAGCAGTCTTGTCATATAAAAATGCACTCCTGGTTCCTGTCTCTTCAAGCTTTCTTCACTTTAACAGCTACTTTAATGGAGGTGAGGAAATCTTTTTGGTTTTGCTTTTGAAAACAAATGGTAATTTGACAGTCACATAGTCTTACTGGCATGTCTGAGGAACTAGACTTGATCCACAAAAGTTCACATTAAAATATAGTAGTTAATTTTTAATGTGACACATTTCTCTCTCTCTCTCTCTCTCTCTGTTTTTTGTTTTGCTTGGGAATTGGAAACCTTTGGAAGTCTACTGCACACAACCCAGGAACCAATTAGTATATCCTGATCTACTTTCTGCCTACTCCTACTTTCTGCCTACTCAAGATTAATGTCTTGAAAAATAAACTGGAATCAACAGCAATGGAATCAACAGCAAAATTGTGCTATTTAATTATTTAAAACATTTAATCCTATATTTTAAAGCACATGAAAGCTGCATAAAACATTTTGAGTATTAAAACAAAACCTACATACTTCAGATTGCTTTTCATACAAGAATGCAAATCTCACGATTAGAGATGGGGGTATTCGTATTTGTATATGAATATTCCCCTCAGGTGGAGATAATGAGGGTCCAGCCCCATGGGGTCAGACGGTCCACTCACAATTCCGCTGCTGCGGCAAGCTTGACAGAACCTTCCTATCAGTTGCTCATGATAGATTATCCATCCTGGCAGAAGGTGGGATGACAAGCCTCTCTGCAAGATCACAGAGTGGCTAATCCATCACAAGCAACGGAGCAATAGGAAGGCTCCGTTGAGCTTGCAGCAGCAGCAACAGAACCATGAGTGGACTGTCTGGCCCCATGGGGCCGGACCCGTGTTATCTCCACCTGTGGGGGATATTCATATACAAATAAGAAAAACCCCATCTATACTCAAGAGGCATATCTGAATAGAACCTGGAAGGTAACTTTTAATATTTGATAGTCTGAAGGCCTGAAAAAGTGGATACTCACCCTATGATTATAATTCTATATGTGATTAACATAACTGCTCTTTTAGCTTCTTACTCAATTACAAATGAAATTAAAATATTGTCACACCACAAAGAGTGAGTTTAACTCACCCCTCATTATTAGCCGCCTAGAGTGGTCGAAATGACTAGATAG